CATCACGACCATCCCATCGTCCCCCCTCCGCCCGCACGCACCATCAACTCCATCGCCTCTCCCGCCCCATCATCGTCATCATCACCACACGTGCCCATCGCCAGCGTTGCCATGACTGCAGTAAACACGTGTCGTGTGTCTTTGCCTTCGGTGTCACGTAGCCGGCGACAGGGGCCGCACAACAAAGCAGCATCGGGAAACGCGTCGCATCATCACCGCACCTCGAGATGTCGATACTCTCTCAGATGTGAAGTATGCCACGCGAACATCGACGCGAGTCGAGGGCCATGCGCCGAATGTTGATATTTGTATCGGGACGTTAATTATCCTTTATTCGTATTGAGGGGCCGTTCATAAATGACGTCACGCGATTTTGGACGATTTTTGACCGCCCCCCCCCTCCTCGTCACACGGCGTCACAAAAAGTCAGACCCCCTCCCTCAAATATGACGTCACAAAGCTCTGCCCCCCCCCCCCCCAAAAAAAAAAACGTGCTTCAAATTGCTTGAAACTATTGTCATTGTAGTGGGTATTTAATGTGGCGCTGCACTTTGATGTTGTAGGAGAAAACAATAATTAAAAAGTCTATTTAATTAAGTAGAACGTGTTGTCTATATTTATTTAAAGTTGCGCATTTTGATGTGACGTCACATTTCTCAACCACCCCCCCCTCGTCACACATCGTCACAAATGTCTGACCCCCCCCCCCCCCCAGGTGCGTGACGTCATTTATGGACGGCCCCTAACACCACTGCCAGTCGGCAGGTCCCGTGTGGTGGGGTGAAGTGTCGGGACTCCGACCTCTTACACCTCTTGGAGAATATCGGATTGATCCAGAATAAATAAATAAATATTCATCCGACGAGAAAGTCGGCCAGGGTGGAGGAGTAGCCCGAAGTCGCCTCGAGGTTGGCTCTCTGGATCTCCCTCCGGCGAACGGGCACGACCACGATACTCGTGAACAAGACTTCCCGCAGTGTATTTTTGAGGCCCAGATGTGAATTGTCATCACGGGAACGAAGATCGGGGCGCCCTTGCAAACCCCCGCTGCGATCAGAAGAAGAGCAGCGAGCTGCCGTGATGTGTTGTTGCTGCTGCTGCTGCGCTGTCCATCAGGGAGCGAAGACGCCAAGCGAAGTGTCAGGACGAGGCTGCAATGCGGCGACAACTGCACGCATCGCGACGCCCTTAACATGGGGGGGAGGATCGTCTAAAATAGACACGGGAGCGTGTTTGTGACAACCCACATTAATGGTTGCCCATTGTTGAGGCCAGTTGCGGAAGCACACCGCACTCTCCAGACTGACGCGTGCGGAATGTGGTTCTAAACGACCGTCTCGACACCCAGTGCTGATGGTGACACGCTGAACCGCGTCCTCGTGTAGGTGCTGAGTCAAACTTGTGGACACTCAGGACAAACTCACGTGATGTTAACATCGGCCGCGTCTGTGCATCGTGGCTGGGACGCTGAGTCGAGGTCACCCAGAGGCGTTGATACCTTTTCTGTATAAATGTTGCTATTTATATATACTTTATACAGTATATACTTTATACTATATATGTACCTGAGATTTTAAAATAAAGAAATAACTTGTGGATGTTCCCTTAAGCCCATAGTTAGACATCTAAAAACAGTGACACATTGTTATTCTTGGAAATATGTATTTTAGTCACGTGCTGAAACCGAAGAAATATGTGCTCCGGTTAATCCGAAATCCACGTGATCACCTCTACAGTACAGTAGTTGCAGGTCAATAGTGGGCGGAGTTTGATGTTGATTGACGTGGCTCTGCGTCTGCCCACTTGGTGGGCCGAGTCTTCTGCGCAGGGGCAGGGAAGTTACATCGCTGAGCACGCGCATCGATCGGTCGATTATTTACGACAATTTTTTTTGATTCATTAACAAACTCAATTTCCTTAACTTAAACATCATTTATACCAATATTCGTGTTTTTTGGCATAGAGATCCGCGGAAAATGAATATTTTTGGATTATCCGCAAGTTTGAATTATCTGCGGCCACCCATCCAGTTATTATCGGGGATAATCGAGAGTCTACTGTATATGCATATTATTGTCTCCAGGTAAAACACTACAATACCACTCCCCCCAAGCATCCGCCGTGCCTCCGTGAATTCACAGACGCATGGTGAGGTAGCCATAGGCCTCAGAATTCAGAGCACTGAGCCTCTAAGGCTGAGGCGTGGGTTTAAAAGTGGGGCGTATGGGGAAACACCCTCTCGAGCGTGTGGATAAAGATCACGTGAAGGGATCTTATGAAGTAGCCCTCGCCCAGCACACGGGGTGGTACACTGCTCACTGCAAAAGTTACAATTGGACATACGGGTCTCGTGGCGTGATGTGGATTTTGGGGTCAATGAGACTATCCTGGTCTCGTCAGTACCCACCTGGTTGAACTAAATACAAACTCTTATTTGACTTCACTTGAATTCTAAAGGTCTCTCCAAACTGTGGTCATCTTTAACAATCCACCTAAAATACACGGACTGATCTCATCGCTCCATCTCCGCCGCGGGCGTCCTCTCAGACGCTTTCTCTCCCTTGGCTGGCACTCCCTCGTTATTTTCAAATGTAAATACAGTAACCACACGACACACGCGCACACAAACAGCAACACACAGCGAACAAGGTAGGCACCTTCCGGCCCACTTCTCCTGCCAACTGCCCTTCATTCTGCAATCATGTGCCACGGTGGTGGGATGTTAACTACCTCGCCTGGTATGCATGAGGTCGTGGGTTCGATCCCGATCCAGATCCTGACGCCTGTATATTTGGTGTTTGCGTGTCTCCCTCGCCGTGGTTGTGTGGATTTTTTTTCCAGGTCCCACAGTTTTCCCCTCCACATTTAGAAACTTGAATTTAGAGTATTTAGCTGCTTTAAATTTCCACGTAACAAACCACTTCGTTCAGCTTTCATTTGTGGCCAGGTCACTTCGTGACTAATAGCTATAAAGCTCAGTCGGCCTTACCTGGTAAAAGAAAAAATAGTTTAGTTCATGCATTAGAAGCTGTCCTGAACCACTCCCTTACCTCGAGCGCAGAAGGGTCGAAACAGCAAAACCACTCGCAGAAACCAATTAATCTTCTCTGCCAACATTCCCAGATCTAAAGCTCTTCTGCTATTGCGTTACTAAGGAAAGGCAATGGTAAACAAGCCTTGGGCCATTTTTTTTTACGACGACGATAGTGGTAGACGTGTGAGTGTGTGTGAGAGTGTTGCTGGTGAGACGGTGAGAGTGCTGATTCCCAGAGACACGGTTAACGTGAGTGGCGAGTGGTTTCAGAACCTGTCCCGAGCAGTGTGTAAACATGAACGGTAAAACCCAGCACTGGGGAGACAAAGGCAGCCAGGGTCGCTAACAGAATTCACTCAAACTGTCTAAAAGGCTCTGCAGGCCCATCGTTGTCTTTTATCAAGTCGACATTGCGTGACTTTCTCCGTTGATGTTTTTTTTAATTGCAAACGAGGCTATCCTGATCTCTATTCAATGTGTTGGCAATACTGCCTGCCAATGTTTACAGCAGGGGTAATGGGCTGACAACTCTTTACCAATATCCCTGTGTGATATGATGTAAACTAACAACAACAACAACAACCGCCATTCGCCACTAAGTGGCGGTGACGTCACCACGATGCTTGTGCCAGGCCAAGTGCACCTTGAGGCCACGTGAAGTGTCGAAAGCCCGCTGGCAGGAGGTCACGGGGCAGACCCAGCAGGTGCCACGGGTCGACTGACCGAGATGACCGAGATGACTGGCTGATGCACCACCTGTGCCCCCTACTGTGCCAACTTGCTGTGCTTTAGCCACCCGGCGCTCCGCTCGTTGTTGTGAGCGTCGCTCCTCCACCCTTAGACACACACACACGCAAATTAGCACACGTACGCACACACGCCACGTAAGTACAAAACACACAACGAACACCTATGGGCACACTGGCACTCATTAACGGCTAAGTCGACCTAGGGCGAGACCAACCAGGGCTTCACACACCCATATATATATCAGGTTGCCAGGTTCAAATCACAATGCACTAACCACTGCGCCACCGCTCTCCCCCCCAAGACATAAATCCCCCGTATAACCTTCAAGTTCCCGACCGCCTATTGTCTCCCTCGTGGCGATGTTTCCAGGTGCTCATTTGAGGCTGAGTCGACCCGAGGGACCGGTTCAGACTCTGCGTCAAAAACAACAATCGCCATTCGCCACGGAATGCCGAAGTCGTCACCTCTCGGCGTTTGCTCCAGGCTGTGTGCACACTTTGAGGCCGCGGACGGGACAGTCCCCAGGTGTTACGGGTGAATTGACCGCATGGTTAAGTGTCTCAGTCAGTTGTCACGCACACACACACACACACGAGGATTCCCGTATAGCCTTCAACATAAACGACAAAGATCCCCCGTGTGGTCTTAACAGACTGCTGGGGAAAGTGATGTTAGCGAGCACCTATGAAGGCCGGAATGGTACACGAGGGGGTGGGTGGCCAGCACTACGCCTGACCGCCTTTGTCTCCCCGGTGGCGATGTTTATACACCGCACCAGGTGCTCATTTGAGGCTGGGTCGGCCCAGGGCCGGTTCAGATAATCGTCACCGGCGTTGGTCATGAGCGGGAATCGAACCCGGGTAGCCGGGTTCGTAGCCCAGCGCGCTAACAGCTATACTACCGCTCCCTACACCGACATACACAACACACACATGCACAGAGATCACACACAGGACACAAAGCGACCACACACACGAAGATCTCTCACATACAGATCACACAGACGTCACACACACACAGGCGAAGATTACACACACACAGATCACACACACAGAGCTCTCACACACACACTTCAAATACACAAACTCTCCGCTGCGTTTCGCTCAGGTGTTCAGTTCAGGTGCGCTCAGAGGAAAGCCACGCCCACAAGAGGCGGGATTTGCTCCTTCCCACCACCACCACCAGCAGTGCACCCACCCCCCTTCCTCTCTCTCTCACACCGGCACAGAACACACGTCACAGCCACGTACAGCCAACACAAAGACACACACACACACGCGCGCAGGTATAGGAGATACACAGCACAACAACAACACACACAATTACACAGTACATACGTATACAAACATAGACACGCTTGTTAGGACTTCAGGATCTCCGCTGCTGCGGCTGGCTCGCCAGCATGGCTCTCTCGCAGGAGATGTGTTTGGCTGACCACAACGTCAACTGGATTGCCAGCGAGTCGAAGCCAGAATACTTCTACAGCGAGGAGCAGCGAATCGCTCTCGAAGGTCTCATCGACGGCGGAACCGAGACCTACGAGGCCGCCCTGGAGAAGTTCAACATCAAACCGTTCCTGTCCCGGGAGGAGATCGACCGGGTGAACAACTCGAGCAGAGAACAGCGGGGTCGAGGTTCCACGGCTGCCCGAAGTGCCGATGCCGCAGTGGACGCTGACCCAGCAGCAGCAGCCGCCGCCGAGACTGAGAGCACAGCCTCGACCGACGGTGACAGCTCGCTCACCTACTGGCCGGACCAGTCGGACGATGAGCCACCGGCCACTCTGGACATTGGCTGGCCGGACGCGCAGGGCTATAGGGGGGTGACCAGAGCCACCGTTTACACGCAGCCGCCCGGGGAAGGCGCCGCCAACGTAAAGGAGACCGTGAGACGGCTCGTACAGAACGCGCAGTCGGTGAGTTTTCCGAATCGACAACCCCCTCCCCCCAAAGATGGATGGAGATAAATGCGATACGAGCGACGAGGCAGATATTGGCTTTTTTAAACGGTTAATTATTTACGTAAGTTTCGATTTAAAGCTTTCGTGACTGCAGGGATTCATCTTCTTGGTTCTTTCGGTAAAGTCACGTAGAAGGGAAATAATAAAATAATACAAATAAAACATTATAAAATAATTCTCACGACGTTTCGGCCACAACGCAAGCAGCCGTCCTCGGGTGAAGAACAGGTCTGTTGGAAAGACAGCGTCTGAATGAAGTGTACAGTATTAGGATTTGAATGTGAGAATGTGTTTGATGGGGCGGCGGCCTCTGTTTCTATGAGTAGAAGCCTCCCCCACCTTCAGCTGCTTGAAACCCCCGTAAGTTCTTCCTCTGCTGATGTTTCACGCCACCACTCGTCACCTGAACCTCTGCCCAGTTTTATTTGGCACTCGCGCGGGGCACGCCTGGTACGCGGTGAAGTTTGAGTCGGTTTATCCTGCGGACGGAGACTGGCTCCCCGCCATAGGAATGTGGAATTCCCACCGCGGGATCAGGGCAGACTATTGCGAATGCATACTGTTCATCCCACGGGTTTGGTTTTGAGACTGTTGGGTTTGTCCGCCGGTTTTTAGGTTTATCCTTGGGGTGAAGCGGAGTGGTGGAGGTGAGGCTGGGTTAGGGTTAAGGCTGCGTTAAGGTTGTTGTTGTGGCTGCTCCCACTCTAAGATAGGATTCGGTACATCCCTATGGTTGTGGTTTATGTTTAGTACTAAACTCTAAACCTAACACCAATCTCATAGCTAACATTAACCCTAACACTAACCCTATATGTAGCTGTCGCCCTAACTCTAACCTTACCCCTAACACAAACCCCAAATGTAGCTCTAACACTAACCATATGCGTAGTTCTTACACTCACCTTACAGCTAACACTAACCATATAGCTAGCTGTAATTCTAACTTTACCCCTAACAATAACCCGAACACTCGTCCTCACAATGGCTGATACTCCTGTAACAACAATGTCAGAGACAGGCTTTGTTTCAGTAATCGTATCGTTATTCGTGCTAGCGATATAGTAAGAGTCAAGGTTCATGTTAGACATGGACTGGGTTAGTGTTATACACGATGCTGGGGTTGGTGTTCAGACATTGGTTAATAGCAGTAGCAATTATAATTAATACATCTGTACCGCCCCGGTATCGAACCCAGGTTTGAAAGAATCACAATTTTCAATGATACCACTCCACCACTGCGGATGCGTAAGGCTGGATTAACAACAGCTCACATGACCCGGAGTCATCTGAGCTGTTATTAACCAACCACGTTTTCATACATCCCTCCCGTGCTGTATGAGAGCCTGCCCACGCCGCGAGAATCATTTGACCGTACTGTACTCATGAGTGCTGGTTAGCAGTGGGCACTCACACATGGGACCATAGAAGTATAGGACAACGATGGATTTTGCTGCACTGCTCAGTGCTGCTCGCCGCGTAGTACTGCAGCTGCATGTGCCACCCTGCACATCCAAACAAGACTCGGGCCCAAGTCTGCTTAGCCTCCAAAATATCAGCAGATTGGGTACATTGCAGGTGTCTTGATCACGCGTGTATGTGTGCATCTCTGCATGCGATAACAAGTCACATACCAGGCCATCACATGTCCGCCCCAATCAATGAACCACCCACACCTAGTACCGTGTACGTGCATGGTGATACTGTCGTTTGCTGTAATTATTCACATATCCGACCTTTTCCCAAATGATTCTCTCTGTCCCCAGCAAGTCATGCTCGATGTTGTTTTATGTTGTGAAGCAAATGTGCCATAGGGATAGCCCAGGAGTCAGAGGAACTGAGAAACCTGGGGTTTGAATCCAGGTTTCAGTCGCTTGTGATTAAGCACTTTTAAATCTCGATTGTAAACTAATTTCTTTCGAACTGCTTTTTTGCGTCTAGTTTGTTGTCCTTCCCTCGCACCTCCTATTCGCACGGTTGACTACATAGTGTGCAAAATAAGTTCAATGTACATACATACAATCCAGGTTGTGAAGTATGGGGGAGTTGGTGTGTCAGCCTGTTCACCAATGACTGCAGGATAACGGCCATCATGGTAGATTTGTTTTGTCAATTGGGCAAACATTTCCAGCTTAAACAAATATTAGTTTGACTGCCACACGACAACCAGTGTTCTAAAGCACTTGTGCACGTGAAAGTGCGAGCTCCGAATGTGGAAATGATCTCGGAAGTAGTTCTGTGACATCTCCTTCCACGATCCTTTTTTCTAAAAACGTAGTCACTATCCACTGCTCTGAGGAGAGTTATAATCGGACACGTCATGTCACAGCACCTACAGCACAATTTCAGTAAACACACAAAGTACAGGATGCCCTTAAAGCTGACGAGACAAATTGTTAAGGATCACAAGAATGTATTGATTGTTGGGCCGTAAGTATTTTCAAAGGACTGGGCAGACGGAACTCTTGACTGAAGATGAGAGAGAGATCCTCATGGAAACAGGTGGCCATTTTACGAGTGGGTGGGCAGTGAAAAGTCATGAAAGTAGACAAATTAGTCTCATAGTTGCAACAGCTGCTGTCATCTTTGGGGGGCATTTTTGCGGTTATGTCTGAAAGCGATTTCGGCTCGTAAATCCATCTGTGGACCCTTAAACATGCAACACTTTGGGGGGCAGTGTACTGTTCGTGAAGCCCCTTTCAAGGCACTCGTGGGAGCGGCGATGTTGACGTTGGCCACACCTAGAAGCGGCAGGTATTCATTTTAGTCTGAGTCGACCTAGGTGTATGCATCTTGCTACAGCAAGCAGTTACCACCTTTGGCATGCTCTCAGGAACTCTTCACAGAGAGAGAAAAATGGGTGAGGGTGTACCCTGTTCTGGGACTGTAATAATTACTCCGAACCAACAGCCCCTAACCGCACGCAATGAGAGATTGACAGCTGTGAATGAGAGCCTGTTATGGGCATCCCTGTCTGCTGCGCGAGTCTGCGTGCTGTTTGTGTGCGCGTGGGAGCAGTGGTTAGCATACTATGCCACACAGAACCCGGCGCCGTGAGTTTAATTTCCGGCCACGGCTAATGTCAGTGGCGAGTGGTATTAGAACGTGTTCTGCCTGGGACTCCGTGCGGTGTGTAAACATCAGCAGAGGTCAGGGATGGTAGGAGCTTGGAGAGGCCTTCATCCAGCAGTGGATTGACCATGGCTGGTGACGATAATAATTGTGTCCCACCAGGACAAATATATTTGTAATATTTTGTAAATCAATGAATCAATGATGCAAGAAATGAGAGTTAAAACACCGTGTCTCCTACAATTATATTATCATTGTTTTTATTGGTGGCGGCTGCACATGTGGCGTGCAATCCTGCGCTGTGGAAGCGAGGGTTTGTGGGTCGCACAAATGTCGTGAAACTCCATTCCCATGGGGTGTCGGGGTGCTCTACCCTGTCTCGCCAGGAGGGGGCAGTACAGCAAGTGGACTCATCTCCATCTGTTTCAATCGCACACCTGGGTTTTCTGCCGGTTTCACAGTTTTCATCCCACGTGTATAGCAAACACTCATTAATTGGCTGAAGATATCTTAAAATAAAAACCCAATGCGGGACCCTCCTGAAAAGGAGTCGTACGACTCAAGCGTGGCTCTACTGGGTGAATAGGTCTTGCGGCAAGCAGTGCTGCACCTCCGTGTGTCCGATAACGGCCTAGAAGATTGTGTTGCAGAACTCCTTCTGAAGTAACTTCAATCAACCGATTCATCAACATGAACACACTTTTTCACATTCTGCAAAGTGTCACATTTTAAACTGCGATGAGTAATCCTCAGAATTTAGCCAAATTAAGTGCAAAAACTACATTTAATGTACAATAATGTGGGTTTTTTTGTGCAGATTTTGGTGAACAGGCTGAGACCATCACCAGGCTGCACTTGAGAAGCCGGTGTAATAACGTGCGGCTGAAACCCAGATTCTGAAACCCATCGTAATGTCACGTTAGAGAATGGCCTGTGGAAGGAAATTTCATACAACTTCTTCTGAGATGTCTCTTTCATCATGCATTAGGGAAACACCTTCCCCAGGTACCACTGCAATACAGAAAACTCCAGTCGCATGGCAGTAAGGTGATTTTTTTTGCTGCTTTTCAAGATCTGGGAATTTTTGCTAAATTAAGTGACAAACCAAAGTTAATTTGATGGGCGATTTTGTGCGGTCACTGGTGACCAGGCTAAGACCATCAATTGGTCACACTTGAAAATCCGGTTTGATCGCATGTCAGCGCATTGACCCCTGAGTCACCCAGCCACGTCAGACTTTTTTTTGTTAAGTAAAATATTTTCTCCCACTTTCAATTCAAATCCCAATGAGTCACACACCACACACATATTACGTGCCGGGTGGAGGAGTAGGAATGTATCGGTTCACGCGGTTGCTTCTGAACCCGGCGGCAACCAAAATTTGATTCCCAGCCACGGCTAACATCGGTGGCGAGTGATGTCTGAATGGTCCCGCCGCCCCACGTCCCCGTTTTACGAGCCCGCCCTCATTACGAGCTCGCTGAGGTATTTTCAATCAACTCCCATGACTTACATGGCATTGAGAGGTCCTGATCCAACATGGCGGCTATACATGGTTATCATTATTATTATGATTATGTTGTATTGGATGCTGCCGAGTATGCAAGTGACCATTATTAAACCACAGTTGCAAGACAATGAACGAATGTTCCCGTGGGGAATGTGGATTTGCGTTGAATGGGACTTACACGGGCAGCTTGCCTTAACATGACCGGCCCAGCAGTAAATTGTCCAGGTGTGTTACTGGCATGGGTGGAGATGAAAGCCAGAATTTGGCTGAAAAGCGAAGGCGTTTACCACTTAGTAATGTCTGTAAATGACATCACACACACTGGCAAAGACAAAAATCCCCCCTATAGCCTTAACAGACTGTTGGGGCAAGCGCTGAAAGCGAGCACCTTATGAAAGTCGGCATTGGGCACGAAGAGATAGTGTTGGCATCACCACAACTCTCTCACCAATGCTGACGCTTCACACACCGCATCAGATCGGTTTAGATATCACTGGCCACTGATGTTAGCCGCGGCAAGGAGTCGAACTTAGCTCACCAGGTCCGAACTGCTGCAACTATTCGCTCCTCACACAAAGACAAAGATCCTGGTCCTCCCTTATATTGACTGAACCTCAAATGAGTACGTGTACCTTGCGCAGTGTGTAAACATCAGCATTGGGGAGACATGGTCAGGTGTGGTACTGGCAAGAACACCTCTGCATGTGCCGTGTTGGCCTCATAAGAGGTTTGTACCCCACACAAATGAGAAAGATCCCCTCCCCCCCCCGCTATAGAGCCTATGGAGGTTGTTGGGGCAATTGCTGTTAGTGCTGTACAATCGGTGTACACGTTAGTTACCTAAGAGCGTGGAAGTGAATCGCCCTACGAGTGTCTACATGAATACAACGAGACTGGAGAGCAATGTTCACCTCTGTCGGTGACGTTGAGTTCGTGGTGGAGATTCCACGTTCCCATGACAGGAGAACACCTCTCTATAGGTCAACTATTGTAAACTTCCTACAAAGTTCATAATAACGTTTTTTGGGTTCGATTGCGTAAATGTGTCGAAACTCTCCACCACCTGACACGGCTAATCAGTAAGGGATTTGTCACGTAAACAAAATGACAAATAGTTCACTACCTCAGCCCACTGGTGTGTTGAAGAGTGAATCCACAACATTTACAATCCGAGTACGACGTTTTGCTGGTAATTACATCCAGCATCATCGGGCGATTTGCCAGAATAGTGGGTGGTGGAGGGTTTCGACACATTTATACTTACGTGATCTAACCCAAAAACCTTTATTATGATTTAAAATTGGTCGCGAAAGCCTTCGTGTTAAACTTCCTACAAAGTTGTGCACCAGCATCACCATGGTCATGGTGATGATGGTGTGCAGAGATAGTATATGTGTCTTTTGATCTGTCAAAGCAAAACTTTTGCCGAAAAGTTAGATCTGCTTTCACTTTCATAAAATTTACAATATGTTAAATGTTTCTATCCTGGATGGATTCCAAATATTTCCAGCATCATATTTGCTCTTACGGCTGAGTTAATAATGCCGTTGCTGCTTATGATGATCATCATGCTTCGGTTACGGATATAATGTTGTTGCTGCCGCTGCTCCTAATGTTAATAATATAAAGTTTATGATTATGACCAATTAATTATCTACCTTTGGTGCACAATCCACCAACCTCCATCTCATTATCTCTGCACGACAATAATATCGACCGTAATAACGACATATACACCACCTACCTGCCTGCAATATATAGGTGTGCATGTGACGACCAATCACTGAAATCTTGATTTGAAGCTTTCGCGACTGCAGGAATCCATTACTCTTGGGTTCTTTCGGTAAAGTCACGTAGGTAGAAAAATTTAATTAAATTAAAAATAAATGTTTTTATTAAAATTTCGTTTCGATCGCAACACAAGCGACCGTCTTCAGCTGAGAGAGAGAACGCTCCTGAAGACAGTCGCTTGTGTTGCGATCGAAACGTCGTGATCTATTATTTTTTCTACCCTACGTGACTTTACCGAAAGAACCAAAGAGTGATCAATCGCTGAGTTGCTGGAATCGCTGAGTTGCCGCCATGCTCTACAGAGGCAGCAGCCGCTGCGTGTGGGTGACGCAGCTTGCTGATGATCAAACGGGCGGTGTGAGACATGAGGGATGGTTGTTTTGTCTTGCGGTGTCACCGTTCGCGCCTTTGTGACTGTGGTGGAGAGCGGTGCCACACCGGTTAGCGCTGCAACACCAAACCTGGCCACCCGAGTTCCATTCCCGCTCATGGCCAACGCCGGTGTCATTTATTTGAACTGGTCCTGGGTCTCCTCTAGGTCGACTCAGCCTGAATTGAGTACCTGGTGGGGTGTGGATAAACATCGTGACTAGGGAGACAAAGGCGGCCGGGCGTGGTGCTGGCTAGCGACTCTCTCGCGTACCGTAGCGGCCTTCATAGGTGCTCGTTAGCAGCACTTGCTCCAAAGGTCTGTGAAGGCTGTGCAGGGTATCTTTGTCTTTGTTTGTGCGTGTAGGGGGCGGTTATGCAGTGGTTAGCGCATTGCACTCGGAACTTGGTGAACTTAGTTCGTGTCCCAGCCATGGCTCATATCAGTGGCGAGTGATGTCCGAGTCATATCCTTGGCCCCGACCTGGGGGTCGACTCAAACTTACATTGCTACTTGTCGTGGTCTACAACCGTGTGTGTCAGTCACCCCACGTGTGCCGTGTGTGATGTTCACACAACCACTGAAGGTGGTGATTATTGTGTTTTTGAGTTTTATGATAATTTATGCTGCTGCTGCTGCTACTACTCAGCTGCTGCTGGCACAACTGATGATGATGCTGCTGCCGATGGTGATGATGTAACTGCTGCTACTAATGAGGTTGCTGTTGACGCTGCTGCTAATTATGGCCACGTGTAACTGCTGCTGCTACTGACGATTATGCTGCTGATGATGATTAGCACGGTTGGCTGTGTACGGTGCGAAAGAAGTTCAACATACATACATGATAATGTAATTGTTAGTGATGTTACTGCTGCCACAACCGATGCTGTTGCTGATGATGCTGCCACTACTGATCACGATGTCACTTACGATGCTCCTGCTGCCGCTGCTAAAACTGCAACTACTGCTTCTGCCGCTTGCCACTGCAAGTCCTAACACACCTCCATGCCCTCCACCCTCTCGCCCTCTCTGCAACCCCCCCTCACCCCCCCTCACCTCCCCTCGCTCGCCACACTCAGCTCATCGCCGTGGCCATGGACAAATTCACCGACATGGACATATTTCGCGACATCCTGGACGTGATGTCGCGACGGAAGGTGGCCGTCTACATCGTTCACGACGAAGGGAACATGCCCTTCTTCCTGAGCATGTGCGAGAGGGTCGGCATGCACGCGGGACACCTCAAGGTAAGCTCCGGTGGAAGGGGGTGGGGGGAAACTCCAGGCTGGCCGTCCAGCAGAGCTTGGCTGGAGAGGCGGTCTGAATCGCGCGCGCAGGCAAAGAGGCAGTTCTCAAGCAATGGTGCAATCGTTGCTCAGGGCGCCACGGTGTTGACTACCTCGCCTGGTGTACGGGAGGTCGTGGATTCGATCCTGACCCTGGCGCCTGTATATGTGGAGTTTGCGTGTCTCTCCCCGCGGTCGCATGGATTTTTCTCCGGGTTCTCCGGTTTTTCTCTCCACGTTTAGAATCAACATCACTGTGCGTTTCGAGTATTTAGCTGCTGTACATTTCCAGGTGATAAGCCACTTCGTTGAGCTATCATTTGTGCCCAGGTCGCTTCTGAAAAAGAGCTATATAGCTCCATGGGCCTTACCTGGTAATGTTACAAAAAAACATGTACTTAATTGTAAGCTCACCGGGGACTTACAATCCAGAGTTTTCACGGTTCTATCTCCTGGCAACTGCAGTTGGAACAATGTGGCGAGTTTCTTCAAATCCCTCCCTCCTCCCCACCTATACCCCTCCTCCCAGCAGAGTAACTGCGTACGCCACAGTCGATCGTTAAGTTGCACGCGGTGGGGTAAAGTGTGGGTACTGCCAATTCCTCCACGGCGTTTTAGCCAGCGTGGTAGAGTAGGAAACTGTACTCCCTGTAGGGGCTTTACAGAGACCCCCCCCTCGTGGAGACCCTTCCGCCAGCAGGTGCGTGGGCAAGCTGCTGCAGGGCAGCGCCTTTAGCCCGTTTTTTTTCCACCACAGCTTGGACACATCACCGTGTGTGTGTGTTGTAGCCATCGCCAAGTCTCACCGGGGTCCAAGCCCTGTAAACTCCACTGCACTCGGGAACTCTGGTATATAAGCGCGGGCGGCCCGGACTCGAAATTTGCGCAAATAGTCTCACGAACGCTGCCTCGGTGTCGCTGACACGGCCGCCCAGCCTCCTCCCCGCACTTGGTATTATTAAGTTACCGTGGAAATGTTCCTTCGCCTATTTTAATAAAGGAGGACTTGACATCTGTATAAAGGACATTGGCTTGCGCGAAGATCGCCCAGAGCCAAAAGCTTATAAATAGACGGGTCTCTATAGGGACGGTTAAAGTTCTACCGTGGGTGTGCGTCGGTGTCATAGTTGTGCATCATCATCATCATCTAGATTGAAAACTCATCTCTTTAGAACTGCTTTTTGTGTTTAGTTTGTTGTCCTTCCCCCGCACCTCCAATTAAGACGGTCGTATGTACGTATGTATGTTGAACGTACGTTGCCATCTTTGCCAATGAAAGGTGCGTGTGCGAAAGACGTTGAACATACAGACATCATCACCACAAGCCATGGTCAGTCCACTGCTAGATAAAGGCCCTCCCCATGGTGTCATCATCTCTTGCGATACGTTGATGTAACAATTCACCGTGCCGCCTGCACGCGAGCCTGACGTCTTCATTCCATCTCCGCGGGGAACGTCCTCTCGTGTGCGAATCCCTCTCTTGACTGCCACTCCATCTCGACCAGCGGCTCATCAGCTGCCATTCGCTTTCGCGACGTGCCCTACCCAAACAGTCACAATCGTGTCCTTAACCTGCGTGTCTATTGCAATCCATGCGTTCCTTCTTTCAATGAAAATTGGAGCATGTGACTGAATGTTCACATGGCTATGTGACAATCCTGGAAGCTGGGTTTGATTCCGGGTAATGGTGGACATCCACTCATCCTCCCCTAGGTTAACTCCACCTGAAATAAGTAACTTAGTACTTAACATGAGGACTGACAAATATGGCTAGGCCGCATTGCCCTATGGTGTGATGTTGCTAGCCTTAATAGATGCTCGCTAACAGCACGTGCTCAAAGAGTATAAGAGGCTAAAGGGAAGACATTGTTTTTTTCTTTTCATTTGTTGAATTACTTTTGTAACATGATTGAGGGTACTTGGATGACACTCTCAGCCAAAGAGGCATCCTTGCTCAAACAGGTTTCTACATCGGATAAGATGAGATGAGGATTCATTATCTTCTTCTTAGTTCGTTCGGTAAAGTCACGTAAAAATATAACATAATATGTTTTAAAAATAAAACATAATATTTTTATTTTTATTATTTTATTATTTTCCTTCTACGTGACTTTACCGAAAGAACCAAGAAGATGAATCCCTGCAGTCACGAAAGTTTTAAATCGAGATTCATTATCTGATGATACAAAGGTTACGTATCCGATGAGACAACGGGTCTCTTTCGATTTGGTAGAAAGTTACGTATCAATTGTTGCGAAGGTTCTGCATTGGCTGAGACGTGACAACGGTTCTGTTTGGAATTGGTAGAAAATTACGTATCAATTGTTGCGAAGGTTCTGCATTGGCGGCTGAGACGTGACAACGGTTTTGTTTGGAATTGGTAGAAAGTTACGTATCAATTGTTGCGAAGGATCTGCGTTGGTTGAGACGTGACAACGGTTTTGTTTGGAATTGGTAGAAAGTTACGTATCAATTGTTGCGAAGGTTCTGCGTTGGTTGAGACGTGACAACGGTTCTGTTTGGAATTGGTAGAAAGTTACGTATCAATTGTTGCGAAGGTTCTGCGTTGGCTGAAACGTGGATTCTGTATCAGAGACTCTGATCCTGAAATGGATTCTGCACGGGGAAGAGGTTCTGCATTGGGAGTGGGCTTACGGGGCTGTACGAGATGAGAAGTGGATTCCATATTCGATGACGTAAGGTTTATCAGTCTTCTGGAGAGATGGGAGTTCATCTTCTTGGTTCTTTCGGTAAAGTCACGTAGAAGGGAAGTAATAAAATTATAAAAATAAAACATAATAAAATATTATTATATTATATTATTATATTATTTTATTATATGATTATATTATATTATTATATTATTTGATTATGCTTTATTTTTATTATTTTATTACTTCCCTTCTACGTGACTTTACCGAAAGAACCAAGAAGATGAATCCCTGCAGTCACGAAAGCTTTAAATCGAAAAAGAGATGGGAGTTCTACACCGGATTGGTATCACATTCTGCATTTAACGCGGCAACAATCGCCCACAAGATGAGACGAGGGTTTTGAATGAGGTGATTTACACTTTCTGTCATTCATGTGGACAAGTGTTCTATTTCATGACGGGTCGATCGTTCAGTCAAAGACACGACGAGGGGTCTGTATCAGATGAGATGAAGGTTCCGTATTGGATTAACACAAGGGATCTATATGTCACCAGGGTCACCCTCTTGCTGTGACCTTGCTGCGGTGGTGATGAGAGCTATGCCGGGGGGAGGGGGGGGGTTTCTGGCTCCCGGCAGGTTCAACCACACCGCACTGGTCTCTGGCGAGGGGCCTTACAAACCACAGCATACTGGCACCTCCACGCTGCGGGCTGGTCGTAGCGCTAACAACACTACCCCGGACAAAAAGGTTTTGTTTCGGAAACCAAAGTGAGAAAGAGACAACGCTTAGGGCCCACAGTAGGCTCAAGCCTCCCTCCAGGGCAGTATGACCAACTCGCGATGGAAGCCTGTTGGAAGTCAGGAGTGTGAAGGAGCACCCCCTGGGTCCTAAAGCCAAGATAAGACTCGATACGTGTAACGTCCGCACCATGTACGAGACGTCAGAGACAGGCCAGGCCCTCCGTGAAACGAAGAGATTCAATCAAGACAGTGAAGGATGAGCTGGCAGCGATCGACCTCTTGGGGCGAGGCTCAACGTGTTGCTAAAGACAGGTAGAAGTGGAGAGAAACCCATTGCGGCCTCGTGTCCCATAGGGGATGAAGAGGATTAACTAGCTAACGTGTCACCAGGCAAGGGTGAGGCGATGGTCACGGGTCGCGGGAGACAAATGGTGCATCGGATTCAGGATACCAAGCGTCTCATTTGTACCATCTTCCACTAATTGTGCTCGGGCCAATCGACGCTTGAGGGACGTGTCCATGTTTGGAGATTGTTTTTGAAACATGCGTGTACATATTATCGTCCTACAATGCTTTCTTGATACATCAGACCGCATATGTATATATATTTTAAGAAATCTGCCCGGGGCTAAACTATCTTGTTACCAAACTTTGATATTGGGTCGGCAGCGTGTGAATGAACGACCACAATTTCTGTGGCTGTGGAAAAAATGAAATAATTTTTGGGGGGAGAGGTGTCTCAGGTTTTGTTAAGTTGAGTGGTTTTTTTTCGAAAACACATTTGCACCTCTTACCGCACAGGTCTCCCTTGCGGTTTTTCTGCACAAAGCCTTTATCTCTCTGGGCGATCTGGAGCAATCTGTACTCCCTAATAGAGGGGGAAGAGTGCACGCGCCCAAGCGATTATTTTGCCACGATCGAGGGTTGCGAGTGGAATTCACGAGTAAGATTTTTTTTCATAAATATCGCTCTCGGTGTAGCGGCCACTAGTGGCTGCAAGGGTCATGTGAATATACCGAACCAGTTTCTCATTTCAGGCTGATTCAATCTAGGGGAGACACAGGACCAGTTTTGATAATCGTCACTGGTGTTGGCCATGTGCGGGAATCCAACTAGGGTCGTCCGGTTCGTAGCGCAGCGTGCTAACCGCTGCACCACCGTTCCCCATCATCACACGTAAAAATAAACAACTCCCATATTCTTGGTTTTTTCGGTAAAGTCACGTGACTTTACCGAAAGAACCAATAATATGAATCCCTGCAGTCACGAACGCTTTAAATCGAAATTTAAATAACTCCCATTCAACCTGCATTGGAACTCCCTTGGGTTAACTCGGCCTTAAATGAATACCTTCTGTGGCGTGGAAATACGAGCACAGGGTTCTGGCCAAACCACCTCCTTGTTTTGTATCTTGTTTAGCATCAATAGGTGCTCGCTAAGACACTGGAGCAATGCGCTTTTAAATCTCGGTTGAAACTCATTTCTTTCTAAACTGCTTTTTGTGCTTTAGTTTGTTGTCCTTCCTCCACAGCTCCGATTGGTGTGGTTGGCTCTGCACGGTGCAAA